GCGGACCTGATGTAATTCACCCAAATACTGATCTTTCTTCCTGCAAACAAGGACATTCTCCTAGTTAACCACAGTACATCATCAGAACAGGGGTATTGATATTGATCTGTCTTTAGGCATTATGTGGGAGATCCATAGGTATGCAATTGCCATAGTTGCAGCTACTCAGAAAGCCCAAAATATTAGATAAAATCTTCATCATAGGTGAGTGACCCCATGTCCATGGATTCCTCCCAATTTGTCTCATGTTCCACCCCATCTAACACCCTCAAGATCCACTTGCAATGATCCCCAGGTTCCTGCCAAAACACAGTAGCCAGACCCGCCACAGGCAATGAAAGTGGTAGGGGCAGGTCTTAAGGTGAATGAGTATCCCCCCAGGAGACACCTGCTTATGGAGGAACGGTGACCTCCGATTAAGAGATGCTGGTCTCTCAATGCAAGGGCATCCCAGGGGAATTGGGAGCTCAACATTTTCAGGTTTGTCCCCACAAATGACCCAATCCCAGATCTCAGATTTCATTTCCTCTGCTGCTGTCACCCTGAGACTCTGGCCTGACTTCTGCGGGACCGCCCATTGCCATTTGCATGGTTGGTTTCCATGAAGATCTGTCGACTTCTAAAGCCACTCAATCCCCCAGCGCCTGCCTTCCACCCCCGTGCCCTCCCAAGAGCACAGGTGACAGCAAGCAGCTGTGAGGCTCTGTGGCTGGTGCTTACTTCTGTGGTCATCCACCTGCAGCTGCTCATGTTCACGGCCCGGAAAGGGGTCCACACGGGTCTGCGCAGAGAGTTATCACCTGGAGGTGACTTCCCTCCCAGGGGACATTTGGCAATTTGGGGGGGGGATGCTACAGGCATCTAGTGGGTGGAGACCAGGGATGCTGCTCAACATCCCACAGTACCCAGGACACCCCCTGCCCCACAGCCAGGATTATCCAGCCCCGAACATTAACAGCACTGGTGTTGGGGAACCTGCCTTTCATCCATTACTCCCTGGCATTCCCTCGGGGGCTTTTATGGGTTTTAAGATAAACCCCAGTAGACAAAAGAAAGAGAAGCCCTTCTCTCTCACACCAGACAGAAAACAAGCAAGCGGTCCCCATCGGCTCTGGCAACCATCCTGTGACCCCCAAAGAGACTGTATTAATTCCCTCTGGTTGTTGGGACAACATCAACCCGCTGACCTGAAACATTTACTGTCCCACGGTTCCAGAGGCCAGAAGTCCAAACTGAAGGTGTCAGGAGGGTCGTGCAACCTTCAGAGGCTCAAGGGGAGTCTGTCCCGTGCCGCCTTTGGCAGCTTCTGGGGGTCCCAGCTGTTCCTTGGTTTAAGGCTGCATCGTTCACTCTCTGCCCTGTCTCCACGTGGCCTTCTCCACTCCACTCTGTGTCACCTCCTCTTCCGTCTCTTATAAGGACACTTACCGCTGGATTTAGGGACCCCCGGATAATCTATGATGGTCTCATCCCGGGACCCTTCATTTAATTTTATCTGCAAAGCAACTTTTTCCAAATTAGCTCAGACTCACAGGCGCTGAGGGTTCGGACTTGAACAGATCTTTTAGGGGTTCACACTTCAACTAGCTAGAGACCCAGCCTTGGGATGAAGTTGACCCCAGTCGGATGGTCAATCCGGCAGGAGGAAGCTTGGCCGTATCAGAGAACACAAAGCCCGCCTTACCTCTGGACTCCCACTGCTGTAACGGTGCCCCTTCTTACTTATGCCTGGAGCGACTGTCATCCCAGCTTACACCCCGCACGTTTCCTGGCACAGCAAACACAGGGAGCCCACAGAAACCTGGCAGAATTCCCCAAGCGCAAAGAGCAGTCTGAAGGGTTTGACACCGCCTCAGGTTTCTTTTGGGAAAAACAAAACAAAAACTCCTGAAGCATCACCCTTTTATATTTGGTTCTTCAGTCTGCTTATTCCTTTGCCACACTGCTGTCTGGATTTCTGGGGGTTTGGGTTTGTTTGTTTTTTAGGCCCATTTTTATCATCCTTCATCTCTCTGGGGACTCTCTTCAGGGTTGTGAGCCACCTCAAAGCCTTCAGGAGAGTAAGGCAGGGGTTACGTGGTTTGTGAGTCAACATTTGTGGTCCTTGGGGTTTCTCAGTCCCAGAGAGGAAGCGGATGTTGGTTGTGAGGGTTTGTGCCTAGAATTAACCCCAAGCCACGTTGCACTGGTCTATGCAAGAGATCAGTCCCTGTGGGGACCGCCGCCCCAGTGGGCTGGGCTTCACATTCCTTCTACCCAGGCCCCCGTCTCCCCCATGAATGTGGGCTTCTGAATCAGACTGGATTCCAACTCTTCTTGCTCAGGCACCGCAGGGTTTGTTCAGTTTTTGTTTTTAAGTCAACGCGCCCACAGTGGGGCTCAAACTCACAACCCCAAGATCAAGAGTCACGTGCTTTTCTGACTGAGCCAGCAGGGAGTGGGGGGGAGGCTTCCCTGGCTCTGTTTTTGTTTTTTGTTGTTTTTTTCTTAGAGTGAGTAGTGGGGAGTTAATGGTAACATCTGTTCATTTCATTTGACTTGCTTGCAAGCAACACCGTTGATGAGGGTTCTGCTTAAAAGCAGCAGAAGGGAATTGATGGGAAGTGACCCAGGAAGTTCACAGCCCTGAGAAAAGCTAAGGAAGCAGGCTTTGAAGAGGACAGTGTAGTAGGCAGAACAGTGGCCGCCCCAAAGAGATCCACATCCTAATCCCCAGGACCTGTTACTTTGCATGGCAAAGGGGGGTTAAGGTGGCAGATGGAATTCAGTTGCTCACCAGCCAATGTAAAGGACAGAGGTGACCCTGGATCACCTGGGGATCCTCCTTAAAAGGGGAAAGAACCAGAAAGATGGCAGTGTGACGACTTGGCCCACCACAGCTGGCCCTGCAGACAGAGGAAGGGCCTGGGGGCGAGGAATGTGGGGGCCCCTAGACGCTGGACAAGGCAGGAAGCAGATTCTCCCCCTTGAGCCTCCAGAAGGAACACAGCTCTGGCTGACCCCTTGACACTAGCCCCGAGACCCATTCTGGACAAGCGTCCAGCTCATGAAAGAGAAAGACCATTTCAGCAGGTTAAGGAGACATGCCAACTAACACAGAGTGTGGTTCTGGATTGGATCCTGGGTCAGAAAAGAATTTTGTGGGGTTTTTTGCTATAAGGGACATTATCACTGATATAATTCCAATGTCTATAGATTGATATCAGATATTAGCACCATCATTATTATTTTCTTGACTTTGATCATTGTATTTTGCTTATGTTGGCAAATACCATCACCTCCAGGCGAATCCCGTACCTTTGTTTAGAGAACCAGGGGTTTCGCAGTTACCCTCAAGACTACAGTACTACCAGTAGAAGTATTTCTCAACCGTGGTTTTTCCCTGATTCCACAGTGAGAAATGCATACACTATATAAGGATACGTGCACACGTGTGATCTATGTACGTATGTGTGGTCTACGTATCCCTGTGGTGAACAGGCTCCTGGAATACCCCACCCCCGTGATTCCCACCCCCTGGCATTCACACCTTCTCTTGCACTGCTGGACAGAGGCCTCGGTTCCTCCCTGGCTGTCCAGCTCTTGGCCTCTCCTCAGGGTGGCTCACACCAGGCAGTGCGAGGGCCAGCAAGCGCGAGCTAGCAGTACAGATGCCCGTGAGTAACCGAACCCCAGAACTGGACGTTCCGTCGGCTTTGCTCTGTTCTTTGCACTAGAAGTGAGTAGCTAGGGCCAGCCCACAGCTGGAGGGTAAGAAGGGAGTGGACAGGGGGCAGTGGGGATCATTGGGGTCCATGCTGGAAGGTGCCTACCTGAGTCCGGGCATCCCAGACATATCCTTCGGCTGCTGTGGTCCGATGTGGTAACAGAAAGAAAACTCACCGTATCTATAAAACTTTGAGCCGTCTTTAATCCCACCTTCCTCAGCACTGCAGGCATTTGGGGCAGGGCCACTGGCTGATGTTCTGGGTAGCGGAGGGCATGGAGCAGCATCTCTGGCCTCCACAAGCATCTCAAATGTTACAGGTTTTTTTGTGCCTTGATTACTGAGCTTTTTGGTGCACCCCTCCCCCCATTCTGTACGGGAGCTGAGTGCCAGCCCCGATTCTATCACCGAAGCTGCTCAGCTGGTAGGTTTCTCGCTCCTTGCTGTCCCTAGCAGGACTGGCAGTACAAGGCCTGTCCTCAGGGGTGACCCCGGCGGCTCGCCCAGGGTATGGCAGGCACAAGTGAACATTCAGCAGCAAGGCGAGAACTCCGTCATCACCACACCGCACTGCGAGGTAGTCAAGTTATTCTGCACACTCACAGTGGGAGAAACCGAGGCTCAGAAAGGTGACTGAGGGTGTGCACGGTCCCACGGGGAACCACGAACTTGACCGTGTCTGGCCGACAACTTTCCCAACAGCCATACAGTTCTGCACGGGCTCTCCTGACATGGCCACGCTAGAGGGAGCGGACTCCTCCCTCAGCAGTTCCCAGTTACACGCTCAAGGCAGGTGTCTGACGGCCCCACGCACCTGAGGGCTGCGGGGCGCACCACACCAGCTGCGCCAGGTGCGCATCTGCAGCCCCATCCACTGTGCCTGAGAAAAGGGCCGCTAGTGACCCCTACAGGGTGGTGTGGGCATGGCAGCCAGCGTTCCTTGGGCAATACTGCCACCTTGAGGGTGGTGCCGGCATGACAGCAGTGGTCTTGAGCTCACGCAGCCAACACTGCCACCTAGAGGGTGACGTGGGCATGGCAGCCAGCGTTCCTTGGCTCACGCAGTGTTCCTTGAGCTCACGCAGCAATACTGCCACCTAGAGGGGGTGAAGGCGTGACAGCAGTGGTCTTGAGGCTCACACAGCCAACACTGCCACTTGGAGGGTATGGCAGTCAGCATTCTTTGGCCAATACTGCCACCTAGAGGGGGCTGAGGGCATGACAGCAGTGGTCTTGAGGCTCACACAGCCAACATTGCCACCTGGAGGGTGACGTGGGCATAGCAGTCAGCATTCCTTGGCCAATACTGCCACCTAGAGGGTGCTGCAGACAGAGCAGCCAGCCTTGGTTGGTCTTGCCGCTCCATCCTGGTACTCAGCCTCCCACGTGGTTTTCAAAGTCTCCCAGAGGTTATTTGGGGAGGGGCTGCCCCCTCACAGAGGAACCACCGGACATCTCCAAGCCCACCAGGCGGGCACTTTCAGCCCAAAGTCTCTGGGCTACCTCCTCGTCCTCAGCTTCAGGGGCTGGAGGCTTCTCTTTGAGTCCATCGAAGTACTTTCCAGAAACACCCTCCAATTCCTCTGCCACAGCCAGGTACGTGCTGGGCTGGGCTGCCAGCTGGGGGCTCTTGACCAGCATCCAGAAGATGGGCCCTGCAATCAGCCCACAGAGCATTCAGTCAGCACACATTCAGTGAGGAGGACACGAAAAGCCCTATTCCACCCCCAGGGTTGCCCAGGGCCCAGAGGCCAGATGTGGGACTGCAGTCCCACACAGCCCACCTCCAGGCCTGTGCCTCCAAGGTTCCCTCCACCAGGAGCTCCCTTCCCTGGCATTGCCCAGCCAAATCCCTCCACGTGCAGAGACCAGCCCAAAAGCTGCCTCCCCCAGGAAGCCTCACTGGCTTTTCCCCAGGCAAATGGAAGCTCTCCCTCCTCAGTCAGCTCTGAGTCTTTACCCTACCCCATCTTGCTTTAAAATAACTTTTACTTATTAAATGTCTCTGGGGCCAGCCTCAGCTTAAGATCCATGGTATCTGGCACCCACCCCGTAAATGATTTTCAGGATTACAAATACTAGTTCTAAAGTTCTAATTATTTATTCAGCTTAAAGCTGGTCAGGCCCTGTGCTGGCCCTTTTAAGGCCCATCTCATCCTCCCAACAACCGTGGGGAGGACACTATTATGGCCCTCATTTTGTGGTTGGGAAACTGAGGGCCCAAGAGGTGAAGTTGCTTCCCTGGCTGGCACAGCTAGTTTGGGGTGAAGCTGGTCACCCCGAGCACAACCAGGAGTCAAGCTTCATGGTCTCCTTCTCTGAGACTCAGTTTTCTCATCAAAGAGGATCTAGCCTGTTTCCTGGGGCTATTCTGAGGCCAGCAGGCTGGATACACACGTAGAAGTGACTCATTCTCAGTATCCTAGAAGACACAGGGGAGTGGGGGAGAGCCAGGCCACTGACATAGTCTCTCGAGTGTGCAGTTAATTTTGTGTCAAGTTGACTGAGCTAAGGGATGCCCAGAAAGCCGGTAAAGCATTACTTCTGGGCGTGTCCACAAGGATGTGACCGGAAGAGATTAGCATTGGAATCAGTAGAGTGAGCAAAGAGATCTGCCCTCGCCAATGTGGGCAGCCAAGCTATTAGTTGAGGGTGAGAACAGAACAAAAAGGTGGAGGAAGGGCGAATTCCCCCCTCTCTCTGCTTGAGCTGGAACATCCATCTCCCGCCCTCAGACAGTGCTCCTGGCCTTCGGGCTGGGACTTACATCATCGTTCCCCTGGTTTACAGGCTTTTGGGTTTGGACTGGGACTACACCACCAGCCTTCCGGGGCCTCCAGCATGCAGATGGCAGATCACAGGACTTCTCAGCCTCCATAAACGCATGAGCCAATCCCGCATGACAAATTTCCAAGCATCTATATATATCCTATTGGTTCTGTTTCTCTGCAGAACCCTGACTAATACCCTGAAGAGAGTCCTAGCCCCCAAGCTGTGAGGGCAGGGGTTCAGCTCAGGGACCCCAGGCCAGGAGGTGGCTTACCGAGTGTGAAGCTGGAGAAGACAGAGCTGTGCATGCCCGTGTGCCTGCCCAGCTCTGTCCTGGCCACACCAGGGTGCAGAGCGTTGACAGTCACACCCGTGCCTGGGGAGAGGAGGGAAGAGGAGGGATGAGGGGGTGGGCAGACGCCAGGTTCACTTCCCACCTGGAAGGCTGACACGGCCCACCCTCAGATCCAGGGCTACCCTCTACTGTGCTGGGTCCTACCCTTGAATCCACATCACCTCTCTTGCTCTGAAACTTCCACATCAAAGTGGTTTCATCTTGCAAAGCCACTCTGTTGCCTGACTGCCCAGAGTCTCCCAAACCTGAGCGTATGTAAAAAATCACCTGGAGGGCGTGAGATACCCAAACTGCTGGGCTCCACCCACCCCCAGGGAATCTGAAGCAGTAGGTCAGGGATGGGGTCTGAGATGCTGTAATTATGACCAGCTCCCAGCTGATGTTGCTGGTCCACGGATGCTCTGTGAGGAGCAGGGCAAAGGGCAGACTTTTCAACTTCAGCTCTGTGGACCCTGAGGTCAGATTATTCTTTATCCTGTGCACTGTAGGATGCTAAGCAGCTAGGTGCCAGTAGCAACACCCACCCCACCTCCAATCCCTGAAGCGATGGCCACAAACATCTCCAGATATTTCCGTGGTTGAGAACCACTAGCCTAGAGCACCAACAGCTTAGATGCCTGTGCAGGATGAGCACGAAAGAATGCCACGACTGATCAGTGATGTCAGCTTCGGGCCCCAGTGAACATGGTGGTATGCGTGTCACATGTCTGCCTGTTCTGTTCTGGGGCCGATGCTTCACCTCCCCTGGGCCCAGGCTCAGAGCTAGAGGAAGAAAAAGGCCAGCACATACCCTGCAGCCGCCGGCTCAGCTCCCTGGTAAAGAGGATGACAGCCAGCTTACTCTGGCAATAAGCTGCCTTGGTGTCATACTTCCTTTTCTCCCAGTTCAAGTCATCAAAGTCTATGTGTCCTGCAATGTGGGCCAAGGACGAGAGGTTGATGATCCGTGAAGGGGCCGAGGCTTTCAGTTTGTCCAGCAGCAAGTTTGTCAAAAGAAAGTGACCTGGATGAAGGACAACAAAAAGACAATTTCCGCTGAATTCTTGTCTGGTACATAGGATCGTACTGAGAACATTACCTTCTTTGACCCTCCCAATAATCCATGGCTCTCAACAGGGGCCAGTTCTCTCCCCCAGGGGACACCTGGCAATGTCTAGAGGTTTTGGTCATCACAACTCTAGAGAGCAAAGGGGGTGCTCCTGGCATCTAGTGGGAGGAGGCCAGGGATGCTGCTGGACATCCTACAGAGCACAGGATGGGCCCACAGCAGAGTGACCCAGCCCCAGACATCAGGCCCTGCAAGAACCCCATGAGGTCAGCTGGGGAGACGGACTGCCTCCCATGTCTCCTTCAGCAATAGAATGGTTGGCTGTGCACAGGACTCCCCAGTGAAAGACTGTATTTCCCAGACTCCCTTGCAGTGACATCAGGTCATGTGACTGTGCCCCAGCCAACAGGACACAAATGATGGTGATGTACGTTATGACCCTCCAGGACCTCAACATGTGGCCTTATTTGGAGAGACGGTCTTTACAGTGAAAATGAGGCCATTAGGGTGGGCCCTAATCCAGTGATTGGCACCCACCCAACATCTATTCCCCCCCCTTGCCCTTACTAACAGAACTCCAGTTATACCCAGGGTGACAACAGGTAGGCAAAGTAACTGATGGACAGACAGACTGGAGGACAGACAAAGGGTCAAAAGGCCAAGAGATGGATGAAGAATCCGAAGGACTGACGGAGCATCCAGCAATGAATAGGCAACTCCCTGAGCTGCCAGGTGGCCACCCAGCTGCCCTGGAGGGCAGAGGAGGACGCTGGCCCTCCCCAGAGCCCGTGCCTGGCCCACTGGGGAACCCCACTCACATCCCAGGCCCACGATATACCACACATCCCTCAGCCCGTGACCTCACCCAAGTGGTTAACACCAAACTGCATCTCAAAGCCATCCTCGGTGGTCCAGCGGGGGCACCGCATCACAGCCGCATTGTTGATCAGAATGTGCACTTGCTCCTCCTCTGGAAGACAGGGGCGAGGGCAAACATGTCAGTCCCATAAGGGCCTGCATGGAGCGCCAGTGCAATCGGTGGAAAGCGCCCCCGGCACTGGCCTGGCTGAACAGTGTCCCTGAAACATTCATGTCCACCCAGAGCCTGGGAATGCAACCTATTTTTGGAAAGAGTCTTTGCAAAAAGTAATCAATTTAAGAGAAGGTCACAGTGTGGGCCATAATCCATTAGGACACAGGCTGAGACCCACAGCGAGACAGAGGCAGAGACTGCAGCAATGCATCTAAAGCCGAGGATCACCAAGGACTGACAGCCCACCGCCAGAAGCTGAAAGAGGCAGGAAGGATTCTCCCAGTCTCAGGAAGAGTGCCGGCCTGCTGACGCCTTGATCTTGGACTTCTGGCCTCCACAACTGTGAGGAGAACAGGTTCTCATCTCAATCTACTCAGTTTGCTGTACTTGGCGACAGCAGCCCCAGAAAACACACTCCCACCTAAGGCTTGGAGACCTTTCCTGGAAAGGGAAAGAAGCCACATCTGCAGGGGCCTCAGGGCCTCAGACTGGGGGATTACTCATGGGAACATCAGCTCGGCGGGCAGCCTGCGCCACACCTGATTCCAGACCTGCCACGTCACAGGCACAAACGACCGTCCCTCTCCGAGCCTCTATTTCCTCATCTGTAAAATGGGATGAGTAATAGCACCTTCCTCCCTGTAGCAGTTAGCAAGGGCTGCTATAACAAAGCTTCACACAACGGGCTACTTGAACGTACTGTGTCCCCGTTCTGGAGGCGGGAAGCCCGGGGTCAGCGTGTCTCAGGGCTGTTTCCTTCCAAGGACCGAGGACCGCGAGGGAGAATCTGTGCCAGGCTCTCTCCTGGGCTCAGAGGTGACTGGCCACCTCCCTGTCTCTTCCGTTGGGCCTGTGTCCTAATCTCCCCACCATATGAGGACACCAGTCACTGGAATAGGGCTTAATCACGTCTGTACAGACCCTCTCCGCAGATCAGGCCTCGTGCTGAGGTCCTGGGGGTTAGGACCCCAACACATCTTTTGAGGGGACACAGTAGAACCCCTAACACTCTGAAAGTGGTCTGCAGGATCCGTGGGGATAACAGGTTAGTCATCTAGCACCTAGGAAACAGCCTCTGTTTGGCTTTGAGGGTGGAGGGGGTTAGCATAGCCGTCAGGAACACACACTCTGGAGCCATCAGATGACAGTTCAAATCCCCTGGCTCTACCCTGAGCAGCGGTATGACCCTGGCCAAGTCACACAGCTTCTCTGTGACTCGGTTGCCCCCTCTGTAAAAACAGATAATACTAGAACTTGCTGGGTAGAACGGGGGAGAGAGAACACCACAGTTCTAGTTGTAGAAAAAAACCAAGGGAGGGGCATGTGGGTGGCTCAGTCGGTTAAGCGTCCAACTCTTGGTTTCAGCTCAGGTCATGATCTCAGGGTCATGAGATCAAGTCCCGGCATTGGGCCGCGCTGGGCATGGAGTCTGCTCAGGGTTCTCTCTCTCCCTCTTCCTTTCCCCTCCGCTCATGCTCGCTCGCTCTCTCTAAAAAAAGCCAAGGAGAGGTATATACACCTGCTTGCTTTATAAATGCACAAACTGTCTCCAAAAGGACACACGAGGACACTGAACACATCTGAGGACGGCAGCTGGTAGCGAGTGGCAGGGAGGTGTTTGGCTGTATCCCCGTTTGTACTTTCCGAATGTTTAATCCTGTAAAATGGTACCCCTGTTTGAAAACATAAAGACGTGAGCCAGTTCTGAGAACATCTGGTGGGACGCGGAAATAAGTGAGTCACCCATGTGACCAAGTGCAGAAAAATGCCCGCCGAATCCCTGCATCTGCGCAAAGAAACACCAGCAGAGCAAGCGGGAGCCCCGAGTGCCAGGGAGGCTCAGCGACTGCTGGATGAGTCAGCATTTCCGCCCGCCTTCACCGGGCTAACTCATCCGCCGGCTCCCTGCACACCTAACCTCACCTGGGCCTCTGCGTCTTGTCGGCTCTCGGGCCGAAGGAGTTCGTCTTCCTACACAGCAGGAGTCCCACAGAGCAAACTTTCCCTGTAAAGGACCAGACTAGGTATTTTTGGCTTTGCAGGCCATACGGCCTCTGCTGTCGGAGGACTAAAGCAGCCACAGAGCATACGTAAACAGGCAGGACCGTGCGCCAATAAAACTTTATTTATGGATGCTGATATCTGAACTCCAAACAGTGTTCACATACCCAGAAATATTACTCTTTTGATTTGTGTAAACAGTTGAAATGAAAAATATTTTCACGGGACAATGTCAGGAGATTTAAAAATGTACAATCTTCACCCATAGAAATCTGCACCTGTCAGAAAACACCAGCACCACGCTCTAGGACTTGTGGTCACCCAGGACCTCACCCCCCAAGGCCGGCGTCCTCCCTCCTACCTTCGATGATCTTTGCGGCAAACTCTCGGATGGACTTGAGGGAGGCCAAGTCCAGGTGCCGGGCGTTGACGCGGTGATTAAGGGTCTCCCCGCGAATGTCCTTTGCCGCCGCCTCACACTTCTCCATATCTCGACAGGCCAGAATGATGTTGCCTCCTGCGAGCCCAGGACAGGAAAAAAATATTTTTTAAATCCTCTCCCAGGTACAGAGAGAAAACACACATGAAAACACAGGTCTGCATAAGAGCGTGTATACGCGAGCACGCAGCAGCACCATTCACAGCAGCCGAAAGATGGAAACCACCCAAATGTCCATCAGCAGCTGAGCGGAGAGGCACAAGGTGGTCCATCCAGACCCTGGAATCTACTCGGCCACGGAAAGGAACATGACACATACAACGTGGATGGACCTCATGAACGTGCTTGCTAGAAGCAGCCAGTCACAAAAATATACGTGGCCTATGATTCCATTGACATGAAATATCCAGAACAGGCCGATCCACAGGAGGTAGACGGATGGTTCCCTGGGGGGGGGGGGGGGCCCGGGGGGGGGGGGGGGGTACCTGGGGTGACCACTAAGAGGACCGAGCTGTCATTTTGATGAAAGTGTTCCAAAACTGATTGGCAATGTTCGTACAAATCTGGGAATATACTAAACGCCACCAGAGTGTGTGCTTGACACGGGTGAATTGTGTGATGTGTAGATTGAATTTCAACACAGCTATAAAAAAAAAAAAATTTAAAAAATGAGAGAAGTGAGAAGCAGCGGGGATTGGAGGATGGGTGTGGGTCCGCGTGGCTCGTCTGCCCGCCATGGGCCCAGCTGCCGCCGACACACGCTGCCTCCCCTCCCACCGTCCACAAGGGAACTCAGCCAACTGGGGATCTGTTCATCCTCTGTTGCCGCCGGGCCCTCCAGACAGCAGTGGGTGGGGGTGTCCACCCGATTTCACTTCTCACCCTCTCCTGGGAGGAGCACATGCCCCCTCCTTGGGGAAACCCCATGTGGTGGGGCAGGGGGGGTGCTGCCCATCACGGCCCCCACCACTCTGACCTCAGAGGTAGACAGGCAGCTCCAGCCTGGCCCATCAGGACCCATTCCCCCGGCCACCCCAACCCGTCAAGCCCAAAGAAAAGTTTCCGATTTCCCCCAGCCCTCACCACCTGCCCTGCTACAGCCTTCCCACCCCAGCCAAGGGCAAGTCTGGTCTCCCAGTTGTTCAAACCTAAATCCTTGACTTCTTTTCTGGTGTCTGACTCAACAGGAAATCCACTAATTCTAACTTCAAAAGCGATCAATCCTCCTCCGTGGACTTCCTCCATAACCCCAGTCCGAGTGTCCACAGCCTCCTCTAAGACCCAAAGTCTCCCCTACCTCTTTTAGGGACACCAGCCTTTCTGGCTTAAGCCGGCATGACTTTGGTTTCTGCCACTTGCAACCAAAACAATCCCCCAGGAAAGCAAACGCTCCATCCCAGACCTCACACACCAAGCCAGGTGCCCCCTGGGACTTCACCTCTTCTGGCCAGCTCCAAGGCCGTCTGCTTCCCGATGCCCGTGTTGGCGCCGGTCACAATGACGGTCTTCCCAGGAATGATGGCCTTGCTGGGACAGACCCCACCGGCAACGTAGTCTCTGCAGGTACGAAACGAGGTGGTCACTTCTGTCCATGTGTGCACCCTCGCCGCACGTGCCCCTGACTGTTAGGATCTTGGGTGAATGACCCCACTGAGCTTGTGTTCCCCCACCCGAAAGACGGGAAGGACATCTCCTAACTCCCCGGGGGCCAGTGTGGTGTTGCAGGCAAAGGCTCAGTCTTTGTAAAGACCCACTGGGTTGGTTTCCTATGGCTGCCAAACCAAGTTACCACAAGCTCAGCCGGTTAAAACCATGCACAGGTAATCTACGTGTCTGCAGGCATGAGTCCAAAATGGGTCTCACCAAGATAAGGGCTGCGAGTTGGCAGGACTGTGCTCCTTCTGGAGGCCCTAGGGGAGAGGCGGGTCCCGTGCCTTTCCCAGCTCCTAGAGGCGCCCACACTCCGTGGCTCACGGCCCCTCCTCCTCTGTCTCCAAAGTCAGCAGAGCAGAGTCTTCAGGTCACTGACTCTGAAGGACCACTGTGGTTGCACTGGGCGCCCCCCCAGCCCCGGACAACCCAGGACCACCTCCCCATCTCAGGGTCCCTAACTCAATGTCACCTGCAAAGTCCCCTGTGACAGGTAAAGTAAGACCTTCACAGTTCTGAACCCTACAACATGCACATCTTTGGGGGGCTCTTACCATTTACCCACATTCCCGAGAGGCCAAATACTAGAAACAAGCGAATGTCACTGATAGGGGACCGGCCACGTAAAAATGCCACCACATGATAGGCCCTGTACAGCACGGAAACCGCCAGCCTCCTGGGGCTAATTTTTTATTTAAGTTAATTAAAAATAAACAGCCATACTTTTTCCCCAGGGCATTCAGCTAACCTTTCTTTCTGCCCATCCCATGCTGTCCCTTTATTTTGTTACTATTTTTAGCTCTTCAGAAGTGAAAGACAACAGTGTGAATAAAAACAAACAGCAGCTAATGAATTTTATCACAAGGGAAAATTATTTCCATTTAAAAAAGAATCTCCATTTTCTAGACCTTTCAAAAACACCCAGTTAATATCACAGCGCTGCAGTGTAATGAATTATAAATCAAAACTCCCTGAAAATGACTTTATCGGATCAGCAGCAACAAGTTCACCATGAAGCCTCATCACAGCGCAGGCAAATAAACCCAAAGGTAATTATTCAGAGATTTAGTCTATGCTTTATGCCCTTAAAAAAAATATATTTCCATTTTCCAATTACTTTCAGGCCTCCCGGCCAATCTCTTGTATTGTGTAAATGTAATGAAATTATATATTGCTAATTCTTTTTTTTAACTGTAAGAACACATGAGCTGCACCCTCTTAACAGGTGTCTAAGTTCAGTATTGTTAACTACAAGCATACCACAAGCCATACTTGGAGCGCTCGGTAGCCGTGTGTGATGGCTATCATAATGGACAGCACAAACGTGAAACACTTCCATCAGCGCACAAAGTTCCACCCAACAGTGCTGCTCTAGAATATTGGGTAGCTGGGTTTTCTGCGGGGGGGGGCTGGAGGGGTGTTAGCCTAGGAAAGACAAGAACCATGTGTATAACCCGTGCAGTACAATCACTGGGCAATTCGGGTTTGCGTCTCGGATTCCGGGTAACGAGAGCTCAGGGGGCACGCATTTCCTTGCACCCGGGTCACGGGTGACCTATGGGGACTGCCCAATACACGTCTGCAGGATGGACTCGATAATCAAGGACCAGAAAGTTTACGAGGACTCGGGGTGACCTTGGGCCGTGACCTGCCCTCAAGGCCCTCCCTAGGTTTGCCCCTCCACCGCACTGTCTGGACCGGTCCGAGGCCGGCGACCACCAAGCGACCTCTCCCTGGCCTGCCACCTCCCCCTCCTGGAAGCTGCCGACGCGCCCGGCGGCGGCGCGCACTCACCGGAGCAACACCGCGCCACCCACCGCCGTGCCCAGCACGGACAGCGGCAGGAGGTAGCGGTTCATGGCGGGAAGGAGCGGGTATCCGACGCGGAGCCCGCCGCAGACGGGCCACACACTCGCCGCACACCCGCCGCGGGGTCGCTCGGAAGAGGAGCGCGCGGCCGGCGACCCACGTGGGGAAGGGCCAGCTCCGCTCGGTCCGAGGCTTCCGGAAAGGGGCGGGGCTTAGCGGGGCGGCGGGCCTGTCAGGAGCGGGGCCTATGGGGATGGGCCCCGGCGCCGCTGCCGCTGGGAATGGGGGTTTCCGGAGTCGGGGGCGTGGCCGCCGCCTGGGGGCGGGGCAGGAGGGGCGAGCCTGCGCACTGTTCCATGACGTCACGTTCGCGGCGCTGTCCCCGAGCCGCGGGGCCGCTGGGACGGCGGAGTTTGGCTGCTTCCGCCGCCCACCGCGCTGCGCTCGCGGTCGGCGCCCGGCTGTGTGCCTTTGCTTTTTAATTTTTTTATTTTATTTGTGACTTTCCAATAAGCAACCCGTTCCTACCTAAAGTGCGTGTTCACCAGCAGTACCTTTCTCATAGACTATGAGAGAATTTGAGAATTTCGAGACTCCGAACCCAGGACCTACTAGCCTGGGGGTTCCCAAAGGGGTCCTGAGGGAGATCAGGGCGTGGAGTCCTGGTCTGAGGGAGGAGGGGCTGGGGGTCTGTACTCCTGGATCTGAGGGAGGAGGGGCTGGGGGTCCGGACTCCCGGGTCTGAGGGAGGAGGGGGCTGGGGGTCCGGACTCCCGGGTCTGAGGGAGGAGGGGGCTGGGGGCCCGGACTCCCGGGTCTGAGGGAGGAGGGGGCTGGGGGCCCGGACTCCCGGGTCTGAGGGAGGAGGGGGCTGGGGGCCCGGACTCCTGGTCTGAAGGAGGAGGGGCTGGGGGGGTCTCAACTGCTAGGTCTGAGAGAGGAGGACATGGGGGCTAGACTCCTGGGTAAAATATTGTGAATTCATACAATGGGTCATTATTTGATTAAAAAAAGAAAAAAGAATGAAATGCTGGTAATTGTGACAAGCTAGATGAGCGACAAAGGTTATCATTCTGAGTGAAAGAAGCCAGACGCAGAAGACTGCCTGCCGTATGATTCCAGTTACATGACATGGTTCTAGGAAAGGCAAGCCTGTAGTGAAAGAAGGAGATCCGTGGTTGCCAGGGGCAGAAGGGAGGGAGCAAGGGATTGCCAGAGAGGTAACTTCTTTGGGTTTTGGAAATCGTCTCTCTTGTAATCCTACTGGCAGTTACATGCATGACTACATATGTTTGTAACATGTTATCAGCTTATTCACTTAAATATAGTAAATTTTATTGCATGTAAATTAATCCTGCAATAAAGCTGACTCAAATTTTCTACAAACTGAAAATGTTCTACAGTTTTGTTTTGGAAATCATTTGGCGACAACTAACTCTTGGTTTATGATTCAGTCAGGTTTGTCTACAATCAACAGACATGTTTGAGAATTTTTATGAGGTGAGAAATACCTGCCTGATAAATTATTTCCAGGTGCCCTGAGAGGTTTTTGAATATTGGATTGAACAACAAATTAGATGTGATGTTTTGTACACATAGAATGAAATGTATTCACTTTGGGTCTGCAGCTTTTGCAGTTTGGAGCTAATTTTTTTTTCTTTTGGAGAGATGTTGCTTGTTTCCATACTGCTGTGAAAACTGTGAGTTCTGTGTGCCCTCCCAGACGCAGGGTACCCAAGGGGAACACAACAGCACTGGGTCCAGGATCTGTGATTGGAGTCTCAGCCTAGGAGTAAGGAAAAGTTTCCCAGAGGAAGGGAACCATAAATAGGGTTTTGAAGGATGAGTAGGAGTTCTTCAAGTGGGACAAGTGGAGAGAGACAACTAGACAGGTGTAACAGCATATTCAAAGGCTAGGAGTCATGAGGCAAGTTGCTTGGGAGTGACGTATTTGGGATGGTAGGAGGTCGGCTTGAATGGGGAGGCGGCTGGCAAGAGATGTGGCTAAAGGGAAATTTTTTTTTTTTTTTTTTTTTTTTTTAGATTTTGTTTATTTGACAGAAACGCAGCAAGAGGGGGGAACACAAGCAGGGGGAGTGGGAGAAGGAGAAGCAGGCTTCCCGTGAAACAGGGAGCCCGGTGCAGGGCTCGATCCCAGGACCCTGGGATCATGACCTGAGCCAAAGGCAGACGCTTAACGACTGAACCACCCAGGCGCCCATAAAGGGAAATTTTAAAAGAAAAAATAAGCAATAATACCAACTGCTACTTATTGAGTACCTAGTATGTACCAAGTATTTAATCTACACAACAAACCAAAGAAAGAATAGGTTTGCTGTGCGGGATGTAGCAAAGGTGGTTGGGTTTGGTAAGAGGGCTCTCCCCTTTCTGAGATTGTAGGAATTCAGGGCTTCTGGGCTATGGAGGGAGTAAGGCCTGGGAAAGGGGAAGGTGCCATGGACGCTGTGGTAAGGAACCCCAGATAGACCTACACACATCTTATTTCAAATTCCTGTTCCATTTCTTAGATGTGTGCCTTGAGCAATGACTAACCTTCCCTCAATTTCTGGTTCCTCTTACCCACCAAATGGCAAAGAGGTAGTATCCTTAATACATAAAGAGTTCTTACAAATCTCTAACAAGGAGAGGGGAGAATGGGCAAATGGTATGATGTGCCGTTTACAAAGAAGTAAAGTCAACACACACATGGAACTACTCAGCCTTACTAGGAATCAAAGAAATGCTCATTAGGGTAATTACGAGATGATATTTTTTGCCTATCAGATTGGCAGAGTCAAAACAATGCTAACATCCGGTGTTGGCAAGGATGTGGTAACATGGGTACTCATACCTGCTGGTGGAAGTATCAATTAGTACAGCCTCCTAAAAGGCCATTCAGCAATTCATGGCAAAACCATTTGTGCATATCTCCGACCCGCCAGCCATTCCCCTTGTAAGAATTTAGGCTAAGAGAGTAGTCATTCAGAAAGAAAGATGCTTAGGAAAATGTTCCTCAAAATGCCAGAAGCAAATAAAATCAACATCAATGCCTATCAGTAGAAGAGTAGTCTACTCTACTATTCCTACTTCTATACTCCTTTCAACAACTATGTTATGAACACCTACTGTGTCCCAGACATTGAACTACATGCTGGGAATTTGGCAACAAGACCTAAAAGCTCCCTGCCCTCATGGACCCCCTGATACTGACAGCAAAATTAATTTGTCTGTATGTGGTTCCAGACAGACTGTCTACAGCTTTATCAGGCTCAAATGTTTAAGAACATCCATGACTTCCTTCTTTAACCGCCAATACAGGGCGGTGGGCCGGGGGGGCGGGGGGCGGAGATAAGTTGATTCTCTCACTCTCTTTTAAGTTTCTATACTAAAGTGCATACTTTAAGAGTTAGAAAAAAAACCTATAATATTCTACATAGGGTCAGGAAAAAAACCTATAAAATTCTACATATTTTGCCAGGCAAAATAATGGGTGATTTCACTGTTTTTCACTTCTTGTTCATCTGCCTTTTCTCATTGGGTGAAGATGTTGTGCACGTGAAATAAGCCAGAAACAAAAATACAAAGGCTATATAATTCCACTTGTATGAGGTCCCTTGAGGAGACAAAATCCTAGAGACAGAGAGCAGAATGATGGGCGCCAGGGGCTGGCAGGTGGAGAGAAGTGGGAGTTAGGGTTTATTGGGTACAGAATTTCAGTTTTGTAGGATGAAAAGAGTTCTGGACCTGGATGGTGGTGATGGTTGCACAACAGTGTGAATGTACTTAATGCCACTGAGCTGGACACTTCAAAATGGTTAAGATAGTAAATTTTGTGTCAAGTGTATTTTACCATAATTAAAAACAAGGGGAAGAAGGAGATCTGAAGAGGAGGAGAGATATGAGCACTGTGTGTTCAGTAGCTGGTTCTCTCAATTTTGAATAAAACGCTTCCTCTCTGAGCCTTTTTCTCCTTATATCATCTCCCTCAAGGGTAGTTTTTTCTGCAAAGGACAGGATAGTAAATAATTCCATCCTGGCAGGCCATTCGGTCCCTACTGCAACTCTTCTGCCATTAATAGCAGGAAAGCTGCCGTAGACAAGATGCCCGCAAGTGAGCATAGCTCTGTTCTAATAAAACTTTATTTACAAAAAGAAGCAATGGTATATGTTAAGAAAAAAAAGAAGAAGAAGAAGATAGCAGGAGGGGAAGAATGAAGGGGAGTAAGTCGGAGGGGGAGATGAACCATGAGAGACGATGGACTCTGAAAAACAAACTGAGGGTTCTAGAGAGGAGGGGGGTGGGGGGATGGGTTAGCCTGGTGATGGGTATTAAAGAGGGCACGTTCTGCGTGGAGCACTGGGTGTTATGCACAAACAATGAATCATGGATCACTGCATCAAAAACTAATGATGTAATGTATGGTGGTTAACATAACAATAAAAAATTATTTAAAAAAAAAAAAGAAGCAATGGGCCATAGTTTGCCAGCTCATTATAGAGTCTGGAAGGTTGACATAAAGTCATTCACAAGAAGGACCTCATACACAGTTAAGTGCCAGAATATTGCTGGCTGCCGGTGTAGTTATTACACAGGAAACAAGGCATGCAAATTCCTCCCTCTGAGGACCTCCTACCTGGTTTCCAGACACACCCAAGGTGTTTATAGAAACTGTTCCAGGTAGGCTATACACCTTGTTGTGGTTGTTGATGTTCATGAATTCTTGATAAGCACTGGGTGCTGTCCCAGGTGCTGAGAGACTTCTCCCACCAAGCCCTCCGCTTTCCCTATCAGGGGCTTATGGCCCAAAATCATTCTCTGTCTCAATCTCCATCTATCCGTCTGCTGTTTTGAGGAAATACATTTAAAGTTTTTAGGGGTGGGACGCCTGGGTGGCTCAGTCGGTTAAGCATCTGCCTTCGGCTCAGGTCACGATCCCAGGGTCCTGGGATCGAGCCCCGCACCGGGCTCCTTGCTCAGCGGGAAGCCTGCTTCTCCCTCTGCCTGCCGCTCCCCGCTTGTGCGCTCTCTCTCTCTCTCTCTCCGACAAATAAATGAATACAATATTTT